ACACGATGGTGTCAAAATTGCAGCTCTGATACTATTTTGGGCAACCACCGACCAATCCACCTACTCGTATGCTACTGCTTTTATTATCTATAGACGATGAACACTGAACATTCTCATATATGCAAACATGCCACTTAGGGTTTCAGAGTAAGTGGTTCCCAATCGTACATATTACATGTTCCACACATCACATTACTGCTCGTTGCAATGCAAATAACGGGTGTCTACTATTTTTTTTTTTTTGCACAAAGTTTGGATGCTACTCAATCAGGCTCTAAGTGTCGCACATCTCTGAAATGTTGCATAGATGAAGTATCATCAATAAGGTACGCGACACTACATACATTTTACATATACTAGCAATATTCATTCAACATAGAGACGTTGACGAAAACACTGGTTCGCGTTTTTTTTTGTGGCAAAATTTGCCCAGAACCACGCCTCTCATAAGCAAACGCCAACTTGTACATCGGCTGAGGATAGCCGTATTTGCCAAAAGAACGTCAAATCACATTTTGAGAAACCTCGACAGTGGCGGATCCAGGGGGGGGGGGGGCTGCGGGGGCTGGCAGCCCCCACCCAAGGAAAACTGGCGCCACTGCGCCGAAGGCGCAGTGGCGCCAATTTTCAATTCGCAACTCATCGGAGTGCCGCATACTAGGACTAGGATGCAAAAATCAGTCGAATAACGTCGTTTCAGTACGCTCCGCACCGATATTTCCAATCGTGTGGTGTCACTGTACATACTGATCCTGGGCGCCTCTTGTAAGGGCCACTGGGCGCCAATATTTCAGATCACGTAGCGCCAATGAACGGATCCTGGGCGCCCATATTTCAGATCATGTACGGTGTCACTGACCTGATGTTGGGGCCGACTCTGTCTCTGGCCGACTCCGACTCCGACTCTGCAGCACTGAAACTGGCGGCATGCCCCCTTCCTTTTCAAAAGACTTGCTGCGATCCTCTCGGTCTAACCTGAAACACAATCAAAATTATTTTGGCCTCGCCTCCAATACTGAGTATTACTATCCGAAGCCCATTGCCCCGAATGTTTCTCTGTACGGTGTAGGTACCTACCTATGTAGATACGTTCCAAACGTAACCGTATGTACCTACATAGTACCTACGTACCCAATCGCTCATATCGTAACCAAGGCCGTATATAGGTATCGTAACAATATGCATAACGATATGCATATCGTAACGATATGCAAGACTGTGAGGTGCCAAACGAAGGAAGAATATAGCTGAAAGGTTGTCATGGCAACGGGACCGATGGAGCCGTTGTTTTTGTTTAGTTATCGGCTACATTGGCGTTTCTATATTATCTAACCTTGGCTGGGCAGTTTTCGCTTTCGCCGCTGAGTTGTGCAAGAAATCGATAGGTGTGAAAGTGCTTTCTCGCTTGCCTGATTTTTGCTTCTTGATAATATAGTGGAACTTGTGAACCGAAAAGATTTGCTGAAAGATGGACGAGCCTCCGCGAAAACGAAAGAAGAAGACCGGTGCCGAGCGACGAGCGGAAGCCAAAACCAGAGAGATTGCCCGACAGCTGTCTAAGAACCGCACAATTACGGACTTTTGGAGGTATGATCTATGTGCCTATTTGTTTGTTATTTCCTAACATCCATTTGCATTGCATGCCAGTAACTTCCAGAAATTTAATTACATTTTACGTACCTACCTGCCAATGCCTAGAATAGGTCCGATGGAAGAGTAAACAGCTGAACTCAACTAGCAGCACCATCTAGCGGATGATAGAGCAATATAGAGTTATACGCTAATATGTATATATAGGTGTCGCGACAGGACGTCCACTCATTATGTGTTGGGTACAAAGCCGACTGTAATTGTGTTTGCAAATGCGATTGTATTGCAGTGTCCGAGCGGGAGCCGCCGCTCCCCATCCAGCTCCAGCTCCTAGCCCCCGTCCGGAGTCCGAGGGCAACCCACCGGCGCGATCCGACGATTCCGATCCCGATGATCCCGTACTCGATCAGTCTGCTGGAGCCACGGCTCCAACGACCAGCGACACGTAAGTTCAAATACCTTTGGAAAGAGCGCCTTGTTCGTTGAATACTGAGATGCATTTTGATTTCTTTTAAATGCTGGTTGAAAATGTCCTGCCCTTTTCTGATGGAAGAGCGAAGTCAAACAGTTATGTGGCACCATCTAGCGGATGATAGAGCAATATAGAGTTATACGCTAATATGTATATATAGGTGTCGCGACAGGACGTCCACTCATTATATGTTGGGTACAAAGCCGACTGTAATTGTGTTTGCAAATGCGATTGTATTGCAGTGTCCGAGCCGGAGCCGCCGCTCCCCATCCAGCTCCAGCTCCTAGCCCCCGTCCGGAGTCCGAGGGCAACCCACCGGCGCGATTCGACGATTCCGATCCCGATGATCCCGTACTCGATCAGTCTGCTGGAGCCACTGCTCCAACGACCAGCGACACGTAAGTTCAAATACCTTCGGAAAGAGCGCCTTGTTCGTTGAATGCTGGGATGCATTTTGAATTTGATTTCCTTTAACCCTAGAACGCCTAGGGGGGGGGGGTTGTATCAACCCCCCCCCCCCTGAGGTTTTTTCGAAGTGCACGCAAAACGGCTTGTCGTAGCGGGCTGAAATTTTCAATACCCTCTGGGGCAATCTTTGCGCATCTTTTGCCGAAAAAAAATTGATCGGGTCATGTCAGGTCACGGAGTTATGACGTCATAAGAGGTACAGCCTCCGGCCGACAGTTACCAAACGTGTGCGCCGAATCCCTAGGTTTTCTGCCGGTGATACCCACATTGTTTGATGGATCATGATGAAACTTCCCATGCATGTTGGGGCAAGCATTGGCTATCGTGTGGTGCAAGAAAATTGACCGGGTCAGGTCAGGTCACGGAGCTATGACGTCACAAGAGGAACAGCGTCCGGTACTATTTTTGAAAAGCGCCCGAACCACTATTTTGCTAATTCTTGTCACCTCAATGGTAATATGCAGCAATATTAGCTTCTAAAGGGAGCAAATTGACCTCCCAAATCCAAAAATACAATCAGATTTCAAAAATTTAAATTTTGATTTTTCGAATTTCTGCCGCCGACTGTGACCTTGCCGACTTCCGGCGCTCCCAACGCGCCATTTTTAGAGCTAGGGAAACGAAATACATACCAAACGATAGAGAATTGATCAAGGAACACGATAGTGAAGGTTTCAAGTCGATATCTCCCACCGTTTTGCCGCAATCGCCGCGGAAAGTTGAAAAAGTTTGATTTTTTTAGGAAAATTTGACCTTTGACCGGTCATAAGTAGGTCAAATGTTGACCTAGGACCAAAAAATATACCACCAATCGCGAGATCTCGTTGAGAGCAATCCGTTGGTTTTTTCTGCTAAGCTCTACGACCTTCCGTTTCGAAACGCCAGGGGGGGGTCGTAACAACCCCCCCCCCCCCCTGGTCGTTCGTGTTATGAGAAATGGCCTGGTCGTGCGAGGGTTAAATGCTGGTTGAAAATGTCCTGCCCTTTTCTGATGGAAGAGCGAAGTCAAACGGCTATGTGGCACCATCTAGCGGATGATAGAGCAATATAGAGTTATACGCTAGTATGTATATATAGGTGTCGCGACAGGACGTCCACTCATTATGTGTTGGGTACAAAGCCGACTGTAATTGTGTTTGCAAATGCGATTGTATTGCAGTGTCCGAGCCGGAGCCGCCGCTCACCATCCAGCTCCAGCTCCTAGCCCCCGTCCGGAGTCCGAGGGCAACCCACCGGCGCGATCCGACGATTCCGGTCCCGATGATCCCGTACTCGATCAGTCTGCTGGAGCCACGGCTCCAACGACCAGCGACACGTAAGTTCAAATATAAGATGAACAAATTTAAATACATCTACTATTTAAAGGCAACAATTTTCAATAATAATAATAGCTGGTAGTTTGTTGTACCATATTGTTTTATCTAACTATCAATCGACGTTAAGTTGCTTTTGTTTTTACCTATATGTTTACTCTTTTAAATTAGACTGGGTTTACTATACTTTGTAGCGTAGAGCTAGAAGTTAACAGCCCAAGAAGTGATTCTCATTCGATTTGCTTGACTTATGGAGTGAATCGATTGACATCGAAAAGTGAAAGCATCTACGTTTTTTTTACGAAATAATATACCTATGCAATCATCTGAAAACAGCATCGAAACGCCTCGTTATTACCAGAATCAGAAAAATAAGAGGGGATATTTTGCACAAAATGTAAAAACTAATAACCAAGTAATTTGACGTCAAACCTGCGTCTTCATCGGCCGATAGGCGGAAGAAGAGCCCGTTTTTAGAAGCATTGATCTTCGACACACTGATGTTGAGCCATGTAGATGTTTCAAAATATTTATGTGAGTCGGAGTCTGAGCCTGGAGTTGGAGTCGGAGTCGATTTTCCAAGCCAGAGTCAGAGTCGCTGCAATTCGGTATATACCGCACCATTACCGCACCACTGCTCGTAGGTCATTCATCATGCTACCGAATGTTGTCGCGATGAAACGAAATTTCGGCCGCAGTATAAACAAAACCTTTTCCTTCCTTCTCTTAGTGCCGCCAACATGCTCCCGAGTTCAACATCCGCTCTCCTAGACCCTGTGGACATCGGTGTGCTGATCAAGAAGTCGCGGTCGTCCTCCCTGTCAGAGTCTGAGCTACGCAGAGGCATGAAGCACCGCTGGACGCCAGTTGCCACAAAGGATTTTCCCTCATCTTCGCATGTCACAAGAGACAGGAACGGCAAAACAGTCGACGTTCAGCGACGTGTCCTCCCGGCACACCTTCAGGAGTACCCGTGGATGGCCGTAAGCCGGGAGCAAGGTTGTGAAGGAGTGTGGTGCGCGGCGTGCTGTCTGTTTCGAGGAGATGCCCATGACCTGTGCGTATTCATCACCCGGCCTCTGACAAGTTTTCGGAAAGTGAAAGGAAAAGACGGAGCCTTCGTCATGCATGACCAATCACCTTTTCACAAGACATGCATGGAAAGGGCTGCCCAGTTCATGCTGCGAACGAGAAGCGATGGCGGACCAGCACCAGGTGACATCCGGAACATCGTGAACCGGGGCAGGCGGATCGAAATCGAGGCAAATCGGAAAGCACTGCTGCCCATCATTGACATCGTCCTGACCTGCGGCCGGCAGAACATCGCCCTGCGAGGCCATCGTGATGACGGACGCATCACCGAGTCGGAGCCGCCAGACAACGACGGAAACTTCCGCAGTCTTGTGCGTCTGCTGGTTCGTCACGGCGACGGCATCCTCAAGGAACATCTTGAGAAGTCCGGCAGCAACGCCACCTACATATCCAAGACGACGCAAAACCAGATCCTCGACTGCGCCATGTCTATCATCAGGAGTCACGTCCGTGAAAACATCCAAGGTCGCTTTATCAGCGTGCTGGCCGACGAGACTACAGATCGAGCTGGGCGTGAGCAGATGGTCGTGGTCTTCCGGTATGCCACAGAAAAGGAAGGGAAATGGGTCGTGCGCGAGGACCCAGTAGCTGTGGTAGATCTCGTGGAAGAAATCAAGAGGACCGGAAAAGTGTCAGAAGAAGAGGAGGTGAAGATGTCGGGAGAAAACATCGGGAACGTCTTGACAGAGAAGATCAAGGAGTTCACTGGTGCTGGATCCGCCACAATCGTCGGCTGTGGATTCGACGGAGCTGCTGCGATGGCGAGTGAGAACGTGGGTGTGGCAGCAGTGATGAAGCGAGATAATCCATACTGTGATTACTACCACTGCGCGATGCATTCACTGAACCTCTGCGTCTCGGCGTGCTGCAAACAGCCAGACATCCGTGGCTGCATCGCCACAATCAAAGAGCTGACAAGCTTTTTCAACATGTCCGCGAAGCGCATAGACGCTCTGAGACGCGCCGTAAAGACGGCCGCTCCGGAACGGAGCCGGACGCGACTCGTGTCACTCTGTGCCACACGGTTTCTGGAGCGGCATGACGCCATCCTGACGCTCTGTGAGATGCTGCCGTCGGTGGTGACGGCTCTGGAGGACATGGAGACGTGGTACTCACCAGACACGCGAAACAAGGCCGGCCAGCTGCGCCGCGCTCTCAGCTCGGCGTCCTTCCTGGTGGCTCTGTTCGCCTTGGAGTCGATCACCGCCATAATGCTGCCGGTGGCGCGTGCACTCCAGGCGAAGCAGATGGACGCCGTCACAGCTCTGGAAGCAGTGCAGGCATGCACCAAAGTCCTCCAGTCCTGGAGAGAGCAGCCAGACGAGCGCTTCGCGGAGGTCATGACCAAGGCGGAACAGGCGGCTGAATCTCTGGGCGTGGTCATCAAACCTCCTCGGTGTGCTTCAAAGTCTGTGTACCGGGCCAACGCCGGCGACTCTGATGACCCCATCGGCTACTACCGGGTAAACTGCTTCCTGCCGCTACTTAGCAGCACCCTGCAGCAGCTGGAGCAGCGCTTCGGAGAGCGACAGCAGACATCGTTTAAACTCCGAGACCTTCTTCCGGCATACATGAAGCCGTGGGAGGAAGTAGAGTCCGCTCTGCTGCGCTACAGCGACTTTCTCGACCCGCCACAGGTAGTCAAGGCTGAACACGAGCTGTGGCGCACAATGTGGACCAACAAGCCCGCCCTGGATCGACCAAGATCTGCCGTGGAGGCGCTGGACGCCTGCTCTCATGAGCTGATGCCGAACATCTGCAAGCTGCTCGAGATCCTGGCTGCGCTGCCAGTGACCACAGCTGAACCAGAACGCTTCTTCAGCCGCGTGTCTCTGGCGGCCAGCTCCATCAGGGCAACTATGACGGAGGACAGGCTGGAGGCGATCTGTATGCTGCAGGTGTACCGGCAGTGCCCCGCAGTCACGAGTGACGCCGTGCTAGAAGTGTTCAGCAAGACACAGCGCAAGAAGAACTTTGTCCTTTGAAGTGTGAAGTGGACGGACAGCTAGGTATCAGCCTGGTGCAGCCGCAGGGCTTCGGCCCGTGACGTGACATGCACTGACCAGTGACCACTGAAATCCAGCTGGTATTATGACCGGCGGTTGGGATGCTGTCGCTGAGGCCGATACGTGGAGTTGGGGTGTGTACTTAGAATAGCAGGCTCAATAAAAGTTACATCCGGTCATGCAAAAAATCTCTGAAAACTGCGACCGAAATGCGGCAAAATATAATATTCATTAAGTTATGCAATTATTTTGCAATACACCTAGGGATTCCGTCTAACATTTACCTCCCACTTGGTACATAATAACATACTCTTCTGAACTCGTGCTTATTCATGGCTGGATTTCGTGTCACAGGGCATGTAAAAAAATATCTGCTGCGGTTGGGATCTCTGTCACAAACTACCCAATACGTTTTCAGTCGCCGCTCGTCCACGTTTCTCTGGCTACCATCCACCGATGGATCATGGGAAAGAGTGGTTCCTAAAATCGTTATCGACGAGAGTCGAGAGATAGGCCTGGAAACTTCGGTGAAACTTGTTTTGTATCCAAACGTTGGTTGTTTACCTTTAAATAAAAAGGGAGGTAGGTAGAGATAATTTTAACAGACTCTGACTCCGAGCCGGTATCGGAGTCGAGGGATGCCAATGAACCGACTCCAACTCAGACTCCGATCAAAACTGCCGACTCCAACTGACGCAACCCTACGCAACTAACAAAAAAGATCCACGATGCGACTATGGCGCCCATCCGGGGCGTGGCGCCCAATTATGACCTGCAGCCCCTCCCCAGTGAAAATCCTGGATCCGCCACTGAACCTCGAGGTGTAGAATTTCAGCCTGAGGGAAAATTCCCAAGGGGTTTACAGAAGGGGCTTCTACCCTTTATCCAGCATTGTGTGGATTAAGTCTTGTCTGAAATGTACCAAAAACGGCGGCACTCCGCGCCGCCGTTTTTTTGATATTCGCGAAAAACCACAGGTGTTCAAACACCCCCCCCCCCCCCAGCAGGGCGCGGGTTAAAAAGGATCAGAGATATGGCTAAGGAAGTCAATGTCATGTGTGAGTGAAGTGGAATATCAAGAACAGCAACAACAAGAACGTAGGAAAAGTAAAAATTGACCTAGAAATTATCTTCCATGATTAGTTTCAATCAACTAAATCTCACATTATTTCCAGGATAATGCATAATTATCACAACAAATGCCACTTTTACTTACTATCCACTCTCATGGATACAGGATGCATGTGCTTTGATCAGGGTTGTATACGACTCAAATTTTTGGTGAGTCGATTCAGAAGAGAGTTTCCTATAACTGAATCGACTCGACTCATGATTCCAAAAACGTTAATTGAAATGATTCGATTCAACTCTTGACTCAAACATGACAAGAAATATATGAATCAATTCGACTCATGATTCAAGCATATTTTCAGTTTAACGATTCGATTCAACTCATGACTCAAGGGTTCTGTTAAATAATTTGAATCGACTCATGACTCAATTCTGACTCAACTCATTGGACAGACTCATCAAATTATTCAACATAAAATGTTTGTGCAAACCCAAGAAATACAGGTAGGTAGTCGTAAAGCAGGCGTCACACTTATTTCTGCAACCATGGAGAGGCGCTGTACCCAGAGATGCTTTCTAATCAACACAAACCAAACCAAACCTAATCAAACCTGACCTAGGTACCCTAACACAACCTACAACCTAAAACCTACCACCTAAAACCTAAAACCTAAAACCTAACCTACAGCGCCTCTCCTTTGTTGCAAAAAGAAGTGTGACGCTTGCTTTACTAGGTAGTGAAATACATTCATGGGTGCATACTGCATATGTAATTCCTGACAACTAGTGAACTATATACATGTAGATATTTTTAAAAAAGTTAACATTAATCATTTTATTTATGTATGAAATAAAAATAAAGAAAAACATGTTGCTATTATTATTGAAACCACATAACACACTTTGCATACCTATAATGTAAATAAAAATGTCAGCAGCAAATCGATAGGTACCTAACTTGAACTACGTGCCAGCTGCAAGCCAGCACAGTATTGATTTCTAAATAAGAATGCAAATATGAGGCCTTTAATATATGACAAATATGAAACCAAATGTAAGGCTAATTAGAATCACAAAATGCAAAGAAAAAACATTTTGTTCATGCCCTGTTGCCTTGTGGCCTTGAGAATTTACCAGGACAAAGTTTAGGGCATAATCCAATAATGTAGTGTGATCCACATTTTAAAGGTATAAACACATGACGTCAATTATCCTAACCTTAGCTTTAGCTTGTCATAACTAATTAAACTCAAAATAAACAAACCAATTTTTATTAAATTTAGCAGAAAAATACAACACCAAGCCTAAAAATGGACGTTTGCGTTTATTATAAATAACAAAGTTAAATAAAACGTCACTTTCCGGTTGATTTGCGTTATGGTAGCGTTTTTTTTTAGCTATGGTAGCGCCGCTACGATTTTTTGCTTTTCCTTTACGTTTGAGATATGGCAGTAAATATGATTGTCGACAGAAATTGCTAATAACTTACAAATATTACTCTTATCTTTTCAAACTCGAGAAACATTTGTCCACGTTAATGACGTCATACAATTTTAATTTGAAACCAAATCATGTTATATTTTTTCTTAACCTTTATCATATTATAATTTTCTGGCTAAAAAGATCAAGTTCTCATATCTTTTTAAATCTTTTCCTATTCATTTATCAGCTTGAATTAAATAAAAACTTCATTTTTCATCTTGTTTACGAATAGTTATTTGTGACGTCATGCGCGACCACGAATTAGCAATTGTGAGCCATCGGAAAAGAAAAATGTGAGGGTTATTGATGGTCTTTCTAGACAACTTTGATAGACAATTATTTAAGGTTTTATTTCAATTGTAAACTGGTATGTATCTCATACTTGTTAGTGCCCCTTACTAGCACTCACAAAGCTAACCCAATGTGAGTATTTCAGTAACAGTTCACAGATGTAGTGATTGCATATAGGTATAAATACAGGCTGAGGCAATTGCAATGCTGACTTGCCAAAGTTGAATATTATAGGTAGCTGATGCCAGCCAAAACATAAAAGGTGCTCACCACCTACTTCACTAGCAGTTTCATGACTTTAAAATAAGTTTATCTTACCTGGTGGCTGGAGCAGACTGTGACAAGTTACCTTGAATCGATTCAAAATGTGACTCGCGTTACCTTGAATCGACTCAAACTCTGACTCAAATGGCCTATACATATGTGAATCGACTCGACTCATGATTCATTAAGCTTTCAAATTATTTGATTCGACTCAACTCATGACTCGAAGAAAAACGACTGATTCTTGAGTCGATTCATGATTCAACTCTGAGTCGTATACAACCCTGGGCTTTGATTTCATTATCACACCAACACAGATGTACGAGATGCTTACACTAAGTTTGATGTTATTTGTTGATGTTATTCAGCTAGGACAGTGATAATGTATGGTCAAGTTTGTTCAAAACCAGTGTCCCAAAACTTGCCAGTTTTGGGTGGGAAGTGACATCGAAATGAAATCATTTTTCCCCTTTCATCTCCAATTTTCCAGAACAATTTTTCACTCCTAATTTTATCAATAAAGAGCGCTTGCACGTATATTTGCTGGCTGGCTCTAACCTACCTCCATTATCCATATTACATTGAATCATCTTATAATGCAGCTCCCACATTCTCCAACATTCACAATAAAAACTGATGATCCCTGTTTCAACTTGTTGTGCCTTTCTTACTGGCGATTTTCCACTCTCAGCGCTCTCTGCAGTGCGGAGTATCTTCCTCCGACACCCAAGCCCAAATAAAATTTTGGGACACTGTTCAAAACACCAGCTTTATTTCTTGGCAATGATAGCTTTCAGAAGACTTCAGTCTTCCTTCGTCAGCCTGTCAGAGCTGTAAGAATATATTCAAACGACCGAAATTGAAAAGACAATGCACAAATGTATGAGAGCTACCATTGCATATAGATAAAGCTGGTGTAAGTTATCTTTGCCATACAATTTATATGCAAAACATGCTCACAGTTAAGTCTAAAGGTGTCTTCATGTCTCACATTTGATTGAACCTTGAAACTTCTTTTTAAACACACGGTTAAGTAGCAGTGAAAGAATGAGAGGGCGAGGCTGCAGCCCACCACCCAAATTCAAGCCAAGCAATTTGCAAATTTGCACACAACTACCCAGAAAGGCATAATTCCATGCATAATAAAGAGCAGCTTTGTGTATGCATACGATAGTTATAAAGTAATTAGCCACTAGCCAGTACAATTTGCAAGTCTTTAAATGAAGAGAGAACACCATGGAACCGCGTGAAACCGCAGGCCGCCTTGCGTATAAATATGAAGCGCAATGTATTGAAACAAGAGCCAGCTGCGCCGCGCTTGAGCGCAGTCATATCCTGGGATAATTTTCGGTATATAGTTGTAAACTCCCGATTTGAGTTGTTTTTCTAGATGATATAGTATAATTCTAGTATATACTAAGAAAAACTTAAGAGTACCCGACTCTTTAGTGCCCTGGTTGCCTCATGGGTTAATGGCGAATTCAATGAACTTGAATATTCTATATTTGCGATTTCTTTCAAATATAAAAAATGAGAACAATAAATTCACTAAGTGCGTACTCTTATACGACTTTACCCTACCCAGCGCGCGCGGACCAGGTGTCGAGGATGGCGAAACTGCAAAGCAAATCGTCCCGCAGCGGGATAGTCGTCATGGCTGCCGGTGGCATGACCCACAGCCAGGTCGCCGAGGTACTGGGCATGGGTTGTCGCACGATTTGGCGCTGGTTATCACGCGACAGAAGCGGATAGACGCCTGGGAACAAGCTAGGTCGCGGCAGGAAGACTTCCACCAGCCGGGTATAGCGCAGATCGTCATCGCGAAGTGCGGAGCTAAAGACGGGCACAAGGAAACTGGCAAGGAGGCTGAT